GTTAGTGGTTATTTTGAAGTTTGTGTTTTTAACATTTTTTAAAAGAGTTTTAAGGAATTCCTTTTAATCGTTTTAAGTGCAAGAAAATAACCAACATTAGTGAAATCTCATGTATGAAAAACCTAATATTTCATATATGGAGATATATTTGAGATAGAATTTGAAATATCCCATTTGTATCTCCAGTTGGGAATTCTATTTATTATTTAGTAATTTGTAATAATTATTACATCAACAACTTTGATTGGGCCTTTTATTCACAATGAGTACTTTGAATACTTTAAATAAAAGGTCTGAGCTCTTCCTCCCCGGCTCACCCCGACCTCTGTGACCTTTTCTCCACTTCCTGTCTTTCCTGCAGGGTGAATGTCGGCTGCGGGCCAGCGGAGGAGCGGGTACTCCTCACAGGTTTACATGCTGTGGCTGATATCTACTGTGAAAACTGTAAAACCACCCTGGGTTGGAAATATGTAAGTCAGTCGCTTAAACTTTAACCTGAGCCCTTTTACTTTCCGTCTAAATGTTTCTTGATGCACCACTTACACCTGCCGCTGTGTTGTTGTGCAACTATGTGGTTTCTTGGCTTCCAAGGGGACAAATTATGCTATTACAGGTCAAAAGAACAAGGTTGCTCTCATTAAAGCATTGCTTGTTAAAGCCATGGTGACAGGTTTTTTTTGCTCACGGTTGTATTTAGGCTCAGAGATTGAGCACTCTGGTCTCCTAGCGCTCAAGATAATTACAGTGCCGAAAGGTTGGCTGCAGACAGCCAGACTGGTACCTCTGAGAGTCTACAGTGATTAAATGTCAGGCCATTTTGAAGAGGCTTGTCCTGGTAATTGTCTGAAAAGACTATAGAAGGGTGTAAAATAACTGAACAAAGTATAAGACAGGGACTCACTTAAAGCCGCTCCTTCAGTGACAAAAACAATTATAGATTCTCAGAAAGGCCCCGCAAGCAAAGCAAAGCAGAGCAGACCTGGTTTACAAGGCAAAGCAGGCTGAGCAAATAATCAAAGACAGAGACCCACATCAACATCCTGATTCTCCTGAAGCGCAGCAGGACTGAGACATATGCCGGAAATCATACAGCACTTCAAGAGATGTATTTCCAGACAGGAAGTCAAAGCAATTGAAAAAGGTGATTTGGTCACTGGAGGAATCCTCAGTGTTCTTAATTAGCAATGTGTTTTTCTCTGGTTCTCTAAAATCCTGCTTTTCTCAGATAATAATGAGGCCAGGTGAATAAATGTGTGCATATTTGTCTTTGTATTTGCTGCCTTCTGAGTTTTTGCATAATGTATTATACTATGTATGCCTCCCCCGCAGCTCTGTAAATGCATTTTTAAGTTCCTTGATTTACTTAAAAGCAACTAAAAGACATCAGACATTAGAGTTTCTCCATGTGGGAAAAAATACACAAAAGTAAAATTAGTGAAATGATGAAATGCCATGGTTAGACTGAAGAGTTGATTTACTCCCGTAGCTTTATGAAAACCTTTAAAAAATAATTTCTTGACCTTGAACACATAAAAAATATTACTGTCTTGCTGTCAATCTAAAAAATACAAATCCATTCAAACACTTTACCACATTTTTTTTAATTCTGTGTCTTTATCATGGGCAAAAGTTGTTCTTCTAACTAAAATTTTTCTCTTCTCTGTGTTTTTTTTCACAGGAGCACGCGTTTGAGAGCAGTCAAAAGTACAAAGAGGGAAAGTTCATCATTGAGCTGGCTCACATGATCAAGGACAACGGATGGGAGTGACGCTCTGGCCGTGCTATGTCTTTTTCTGACCTTGGAATGCTCTTTAATGAACTGCGTGGAGTGTCGACCATCGACCCCCCTGCCCCTCCCCAACCGCCCGCCCGCACCCCATCACCCTTAAAAAAAACCTCCACGACCTCCACCCCTCGCCTCCTTCACGTGCACACACCCACCGGCTCATCGTGAAACTGAACAGAACAAATGACAAAAAAGAAAAATGACGACGAGGAAGTGGAGCAACTGTTGAAAAATCACGTCACAGGAGTCCTGTCGTTACTTTAAAGATTGTGTGTTCTCCCTCGCAGCTCCGGAGCTTTTGGGTTTGACCCTTACCCACTCACCCTCACCCCTCCCTCCCCTGCCCACACCGAACCACGCTTACAAGTGATTGTGGTGATATGGCGACCACTATGCGAATGGAGATAGACTTCACTGAAAGGACATTTCTTTGTTTTCTTTATTTCGCCCATCCAGCGAGACGAATGACTTTGATGACTTTTGTTATTTTAATGTTATTTGCTATAGTTTTAACTCCCGGGTTTGGTAAGGTTTTGGTTTGATGGCAGATGGATGTTACTGGTTAGCATTTTATTTCCCTGTCAAGTCTGTCATGTTTTGTTTTGTTTGTCTTTTGGCTTGTTGTATCTTTGCCCGTAGCTGAGAGCATGTATTTCTTTGCTGTTGTCCAAATGAGCAATCAGGGACGGGTGAGGAGCGGAGGGGAAAGGGAGTTTATCGTAGTTTTAAATATGTAGCAGCATCATGCTTTTTTTTTTTTTTAAAGAAAGTGTAAAAGGATGGGATTGCAGTAGTGTGGGATTTTCTTCCTGGTATTGATTTCCGTTTTTATTTTTTTTTCTTTCTGGTTTTTTTTCTCCCTTATTTCCCCCCCTTCTGGTACTTTTCAGCACCCAAAAAGCATTGAAAGCAGCACCTAGTATTTGTTTGATATATATATATATATATATATGAACACACATATAAATATATAAATATTTGTAGTGTTTGGCTAAATGCGATTGTGGCTGGTCCCATTTTGCAGCAGTACCATAAGTGAAAAAGACATGAAAAGGAGCAGAAATAGTTTCTAGACTGGGGAACCTGAAGTCAGTGTCCACATGTCATAAAACATTAGGGCAGACTGTATTATTCCATTGTCTAGTAATGAAACAATAAGAGACACAACTACATATGAATATAAATACACATACTATGATTACATATCCATAAATACTATGAAAATGTTCTTAGTACGTAGATATTGGAACATGGATTCTATATATATATTTGCTGTCATGCACATATGTATATATGCATATGACTGTGTGTATATATGCATTGTGTGTGTGTGCTCACGCATTACACAGTGGCATACTTGAACAATGCTACTTCGTTTGCACTTTGTAGAGGCCTTTGGTTCATCTCAGTTTAGAGGCAAAAAGTTTGTTCGCTCTCGTCTGTTTTTTAATGGCCTTCTCACAGATGAATGACAGATTGTTGGAAAGAAGGTTTGAGGGTTTTGTCTTCTCCATTAAGACTGTAGTGTGTTTAGCAGGTGTCTGTTAGATACTTCCAGACAATTTGGTTAGATTTTATTTAATTTGTATCGACAAATCCTGCTTTTCCTCTCAGTTCTTGCTTCATTTGGAACCCCCCTTTTGGAGAGAAAAGTGTAGTTTCAGATTCTTTGCTGCTATCCGAGAAATCCCGCCATTTCTTCCCGCTCTTGTAGGTCTTTTGCACTTTATGCTTATCCGTCTTTCTCTCAGAGTACATGAATTGTCTCTTTGTGGAAGGTGTCTGTGATTTGCCTCTAAGCCGTATGAATCTTGTGCCTCTTCAAAACATGAACGGCCTCCCCTCCTTTTTTCTGTTGTGCAGTGCATAACTCCGAAAACCGTCATGTGAACCAATGTGTCTTCCCCCCTTCTGGTTCAAAGTGGCCCTCAAAATAACGTTCTTTACCAAAATCCTCAAAGAGCTCTTCCCTGTTTTTTTTTTTTTTTTGAACAACAGAGACTTGGTATACATACACTCATATATTTTCTATGTTAAAGATTTAGAGGTGCAAAAAGAATGGATATTCAGTATATTATTTCTTTATTTCAGTAAAGCAGAGAGGACGATGTTTGGACAATGCGGGATGCCCAGGGCTTGTTGTTTGACTTTTTATTGGAAGAATAAAAACGATATCAGCAGGTCAAGGTGGGGCAGGGTGGGATGGGAGAGATTTAAAAATCAGCAGTGATTGATTACTTTGCCGGCAAGGTCAGTCAGATCACACGACCTTTTATCCTAAAAACAATGACAATGCAAACCCTTAATAGTTAGCAGTGATACCTACTTGAAAATATAAAGACACAAACAGCTGAGATATTGGCCCGTGTTACAGTTTTTGTACATAAAGTAACATATTTAAGGTTTTATACGTATTTCTACTGGGTTAGTTGTTTTACTTCCCCAACTTGAAGCACTTTTGTTCACTGTACCTCTGGCTGTGTGTGCGTGTGTG